TAAAATAGCAGCAAGACTCCACACACTTGTGCTTTGGCCCCCTAATAAATAAAAAACAGATTAACACCACACCACAATTTAACAAACAATGCAGCCTTTCCTTTTCAGTTATTTTAGTAGTGTTTTTGTAGTCCATCCATGGCTCCAATTTCACTAATTGTGCCCAAAACAATTCCATCAGTGCTCTTTACTTAAACAGTAAGAGTGTAAACCAAATAAAAATATCACTCTCAAAAAAACCAGAGCAGAAAACAAATAGTCAGTTAACTAAGTTGACCGCTACTCCTCCTACCCATATATATGTGTGTGTGTGTGTGTGTGTGTGTGTATATATATATATATATTTTTTTTTTTTTAATGATATTTTTATGCCCTACTATACTATGACATATTTTGTGATATATTTATGTCATGGGGATAATGCACACTGAAACAGCCGCTGAATGACATTTACTGGTAAACATGATTAAAAAGAGGCACCCCGACTATTATGCTGAAGTCTTACCTGTTTGAATGATGTTTTTATATTTAATCTTGAGCTGCTTCCACGTTCTTTTTTCGCCGGTGGGATTGCATCTAAGTGAACTAAATTTTAGCTTTAACACCATTCCACCTGTTTGCATCTGTAGCCTAACATTATTGTGATTGCATAAATGTATAAAATAAATTTAAACTTAGACATTGACTCGAGCAGTAATTTTCTCCCACGCCGACTGCCGTTCCTTCGCTGCTGCAGCCGTGTTACTCTTCTTCCTGAAAACAGCTTCAAATTCGCTGTATGAGCGCATTAAAATATCCAACTCCAGAGGAGTAAAAAATGCAGACCTTTTCTTGTTGCTTGTTGCCATGGTGAATCGTGGTATCGGGGCTCCATTGATGACGGCTTTTTAAAGTTGTGGTGTACGTGCTTAACTCAGAGTGAACAAACTCTGTGTTGATTGAACCGATTGAAATCACCTGTTCTGAAACCCGTAACCCAGAGTTTCCCATCTCAGAGTTACTCAACTCAGAGTTCAGGGTTAGGCTCGGAGTCTGTTGAACCTCCTTTCTGAAACGGACCCCTGAGGTTTCTAGAGTAAGACAGAGCGATAAAGCAGGAAGTGCTCTGTATGTCAGCTGTGACAGCTTCCTGTCTGACCCTCTGATGTCCATTACTGAGTGTGTGTACGACTGAACTCACTCTGACCACAATATCAACTGTGACGTATACAAACATTCCTCACTGTGTCATTTAAACACTCTGTCTCACTGCGTGCTGGGAAACACTGCACACTCAGCCCCAACACACCACAACATGATGATGATGATGATGATGTTGTTTGTTGGTCTCAGTCTAATCAGGAGAAAACATGAACATGAGTTGTGTGAACATAGTTTTAATGACCGTTTGGACCATCTGTGACTTTATGTTCAAACATTGTGTCATAGATTGGTCAGAGGTCACAGCGAACGTATGAGGACGTTTCCTAAAAGGTTTGTGATCAACGCTTCAGGAGTAAGGTCCAGTTATGTGTTAAGCCACGCCCCCTCTGAAGTTCATTGGTCAGTATCTCTGAAACACAGTGAGATATCAACAAGCTTCTGATAACTGTTGATCAGCTTGGTCCGAAGATGATCCGCAGGAAGTTTGGTACAAATCATACGTACGGTTCATCAGCAGGTGGTTCCCACTTCCTGTTTGTTTCCAAGGAAGTGAATGAGGCGTACAGGAAGTTGATGACCTGGTGGATGTTTATTTCCTGTCTTCAGGCTAACATTAGGTTCGTTGGAGATGAACTGCGCCTCGCCTGGAAAGTAGACGAGAGCAGGCGGCCGCAGCGGGGGGCGGTGACAAAAAGCTGCGGTGAAGTCGGACAGTTTCCTGACAGTTTCCAGCAGCCTTCAGTCCGTACAGGAAGTCACAGACACACTAACATCCTGTCTGGAATGATGTCAATTCATTAAAAGAGTGATCAGACCCATATATCAGTTTGTTTTCAGTCTCCAGTTGTTTGAATTATGATAGATTAATTTATTAAAATGCTTTACAGGTGATCTGTAGTTTATGTTCATGGTTCATGAACTCTGCTGTAAATCAGCATCATATCAGGTTGACCTGTCGCCTCAACTACACAGGCTGAATACACTGTGTCTGACTGTAAGCTTCATATTTGATACAAGACAACAGCTTTCATTAAGGCTCAGTCAGATACAGTCAGGGCTTCACATCTGTACACATGTTAGTTTAAGAATCCTCACATCCCACTGACCACCAGTCTCTGTGCTGCTAAATACTTCAGTAATTAAAGCGTCCAGTGTTAATATACAGTAGACTCTGTATCTAAAACGTCATCTTGTTGAGTCGACATCTGAACCAATCAGCTGTTAGATCAGGTGAGAGCCAGGCGGCGCAGTCGGTGGAGAGCAGCTGCAGCGCCTGGCTCTAAAAACTGCGGCTGCTTCGCTCTCGCGGTTTAATCGCCGTCCACTTTTGTAATACGTCAGAGCAAGTCGGGATGAAGTCGGACACAAAACTAACCGGCATGCATTGTGCGCCGATTGCTGGTGATCGAATCTGCGCAGGCCTGGCTCATCTCCAACGAACCGATTGGTTCCCACTTCCTGTTTGTTTCCAAGGAAGTGAACAAGGCGTACAGGAAGTTGATGACCTGGTGGATGTTTATTTCCTGTCTTCAGGCTAACATTAGGTTCGTTGGAGATGAACTGCGCCTCGCCTGGAAAGTAGACGAGAGCAGGCGGCCGCAGCGGGGGGCGGTGACAAAAAGCTGCGGTGAAGTCGGACAGTTTCCTGACAGTTTCCAGCAGCCTTCAGTCCGTACAGGAAGTCACAGACACACTAACATCCTGTCTGGAATGATGTCAATTCATTAAAAGAGTGATCAGACCCATATATCAGTTTGTTTTCAGTCTCCAGTTGTTTGAATTATGATAGATTAATTTATTAAAATGCTTTACAGGTGATCTGTAGTTTATGTTCATGGTTCATGAACTCTGCTGTAAATCAGCATCATATCAGGTTGACCTGTCGCCTCAACTACACAGGCTGAATACACTGTGTCTGACTGTAAGCTTCATATTTGATACAAGACAACAGCTTTCATTAAGGCTCAGTCAGATACAGTCAGGGCTTCACATCTGTACACATGTTAGTTTAAGAATCCTCACATCCCACTGACCACCAGTCTCTGTGCTGCTAAATACTTCAGTAATTAAAGCGTCCAGTGTTAATATACAGTAGACTCTGTATCTAAAACGTCATCTTGTTGAGTCGACATCTGAACCAATCAGCTGTTAGATCAGGTGAGAGCCAGGCGGCGCAGTCGGTGGAGAGCAGCTGCAGCGCCTGGCTCTAAAAACTGCGGCTGCTTCGCTCTCGCGGTTTAATCGCCGTCCACTTTTGTAATACGTCAGAGCAAGTCGGGATGAAGTCGGACACAAAACTAACCAGCATGCATTGTGCGCCGATTGCTGGTGATCGAATCTGCGCAGGCCTGGCTCATCTCCAACGAACCGATTGGTTCCCACTTCCTGTTTGTTTCCAAGGAAGTGAACAAGACGTACAGGAAGTTGATGACCTGGTGGATGTTTATTTCCTGTCGTCAGTCTAATGTTGGTTCCCACTTCCTGTTTGTTTCCAAGGAAGTGAACAAGGTGTACAGGAAGTGGATGACCTGGTGGATGTTTATTTCCTGTCTTCAGTCTAATGTTGGTTCCCACTTCCTGTGTGTTTCCAGGGAGGAGGTGAACAAGGCGTACAGGAAGTTGGCAGTTCTGCTGCACCCGGACAAGTGCGTGGCCCCCGGCAGTGAGGACGCCTTCAAGGCGGTGGTGAACGCTCGCACGTCGCTGCTGAAGAACATTAAATAACAGCGTGCAGCGAGCCTGACTGGACTGACCAATCAGATGCAGCCATCCCAACGCTGCTCAGCGATTGGTCCGTTTATGGAGCGTTAATGTGCCATGTTGCTCTCCACAGTGCTGTTTGCCAACGTCACGTCCCGTCATCACCTGTTTTTAACTTATTTATTACCTTCGATCTCTGAACTGTTTCCTTTGTCCACGTAGGAGAGAATGTACGGAGGACGATTAGTGCCACATATGGATTAAAATATTACCTCTGAGATTATAATGTCAGAACTCTGAAATATTAACGATTATTATACGAGAAGAAAACTTTCATGTCTTTATAAATTAGCAGATAAATGTATAATTCTGAGTTTAAAGTTTTAATTCTGAGGATTAAAAAAAAGTGAAGTTTGATNGCCTGAAGCTCCCATTAACTTCTGCAGACCCTTCAGAGCTACAGTGTTCAGCATCATCATCTGTGTGTGTGTGTGTGTGTGTGTGTGTGTGTGTGTGTATGTATATATATGTGTGTGTATCAGTATTTTAAAAATTAAAGTTTAAAGATTTTATTAAAAGAAAATCAAAAATTCTGAGGCAAAAGTTATTAGATTAAGCACAATTTTGTTTTTTATTCTCACAGTTCTGAGAAAGAAAAAAGTCATAATCATGAGAATAGATCCGACCCCAATGCTGACATTTTTATTCTGAGGTTGTAAAAACAATCCTGAGATTAAATTCAGATTATTTTGGAGTGTTTGAATCTAAATTAGAAATTTACGTTAGAAAAAGAAAAAGAAAAAGAAAGTATCAGAAAACGTCAAGTTTTGATGAAAAGGTGTAAAAAATTTAGGTTTTTTTTTTCAGATTACATTTAGTAATTAAAATAATCTGAAAATATTGGCCTTTTCTCTTCAGAGTTCTGACGTTAATCTCATACGATAGTTTCACGTGGCGTTCGTCTGTTTCTGTACGTTGATGTGTGAGTTCGTTTTGTGTGTGTGTGTTTGTGAATGTGTGCAGCTGGTCTCGTGTTGATGGCATCATCAGAGTGGTAGGTCAGAGGTCGACAGGTTTACGCAAAGATGTGAACAAACTTTTGGCCCGTCATGTTACAAGCTGACGTTATAAAAGTTTTTATTATTCTCCACGTTCATGTTTTCAACGTCTGGTTGTCAAATCTACAGAAGTCAAGAAGTGTCAGTAAATTAAAATTAATTTTTAATAATAAAAACTGTTATACTTTTCATGCGAACAAACCCGATGTGTCCTCTGTCAAGACATCACCAAACCCTGGGTGATGATTGGTCGATGTTCCCTCCATTAGTTCCCTCAAACTGCCCTCCAGTTCCCATTTTTCTTTTTCAGATTCTTAATGTACCAACTGATTCAAAGTGACAGTTTACAGTGTGCTACAGATTTCACATTTTCAAATTCATATTTTTATCACTCACAGGACAAATTTGTTCCCTCGGGTTGATAATTTGTTCTCTCAGGGGTTTTTTTTGTTTAGAATGTTCATTTTCTTAAACTTCACTTAAAAATGCCAAAATGTTCCTTCACAGTGTGAATTTGTTCCCTCAAGTTAAACATTCATGTGTCAAATAATATTTCCTGTTTTTCGCTAAAGTAAAAACAACCCATTCCCTCAACTGACCAATGTTATAAAGTGATTAGTTCCCTCAAATGTATTTTTTTCCTCTTTAATTCGTGATTTGTTCCCACAAGTAAAACACGTGTGTCAAATTATAATTCCTGTTTTTTTCCCTGCAGTCTAAAACACTTTGCCATAACTGAGTAATCGTTTAAAATGATTGGTACCATCAAACTGGTAATTAGTTCTCTCGACTTTTTTCTCTCTTTAATTCGTGTTTTTTTCCCCAAGTAAAACATTTGTGTGTCAAATATATAAGCCCTGTTTTTTCCCTTAAACAAAGAACATGTTCCCTTAAGTGACTATTGGTAAAAAGTGACTAGTTCCATCAAAGTGGTAATTAGTTCTCCCAAAAGTGATTTCTCTCTTAAGTGGTAATCTGTTCCCTCAAGTTAAAAAAATTAGTCAAATCATTATCCCTTTTTTTACCTTAAATGAAAAACAAGTTAAGTCCCTAAACTAACATTTATTATCAAGTGATTGGTTCCATCAAACTGCCAATTAGTTCCCTCAAATCTATTATTTTCTCTTTAATAAGTAATTTGTTCCCTCAGATTAAATATTTGTCCCTCCCCCTCCTCCAGTGTTATAGTTTTTTAATAATATTTAATATTATTTCTGATTAAAAAACACTCTGTTTCCTGAACATATCACTCTGTTCCCTGAACACGTCACTCTGTTCCCTGAACACATCGTTCTCTGCTGGAAGTTAAAAACAGAAGGTTGTTGTTAGAATGTGAAGAAGACGTGAGTCGGATTTTAATGTCATATGTCACCCTCTAAGCCTGCGTAGCTCGTAAACATCACTGAACTGACGACTTGATGAGCTTGTCTTTTATTTTACTGTAACTGAAGCCTCTCTGTCTGTCTGTCTGTCTTTTTAGTCCTTTAGCTTGTCATGCTAATGACACGAGCTAACTGAGGGTCTTTATCTTATGTTTATTTTCAGAAAGTCTGTGTGTTTTATATTTATTTACCTGTTGATATATTTATTATTATTATTATTATTATTAGTATTATTATTATTATTTATGATCACATTAATAAACATTTCTGTTGATGTGCCACTTCAGGCTTTGGCTGTGGTCTCTGAGCAGGTACGGAGACAGATTAGTGTCAATATTACCTTTGTCATTAGATCAACCACACGTGTTAATGTGTCTTATGTAAATATAAAATTACTTCCTCTAATAAAAAAATGAAATCTGTAAACTCAAAAAAATATTTTTCATAAATAAGAGATCTACTAATACACAAACACTGTCCAATAATAATAATAATAAATTAAATACTCTGTGGGCAAAATACAAATCCACAAGCTAAAGGTAACCACTTATTTTTGTTAGTTAAACATAACTATGTACTTCTGTCAGCGAAACATAATCACGTACTTTTGTAAGCTAAACATAACTATGTGCTTTTGCTAAATGTAACCACTTACTTTTGTTAGCTAAACATAAATATTTGCTTTTGTAAGCTAAATGTAACCAGGTACATTTGTTAGCCAAGTGTAACCACATGCTTTCGTTAGCTAAACATATCTATTTGCTTCTGTTAGTTAAACATAACTATGTACTTTTGTTAGAGAAACATAACCACATACTTTTGTTAGCTAAACATAACCACATGCTTTTGTTAGCTAAACGTAACCACGTGCGTTTCTTAGCTAAATGTTACAACGTAGTTTTGTTAGGTTAATGTAACCACATGGTTTTGTGAGCTAAATGTAACCCTTTTTTTGTTTGTTAAACATAACTATGTACTTTTGTTAGCTAAATGTAACCACATGCTTTTGTTATCTACACATAACTTGGTACTTTTGTTAGCTAAACAAAACCACGTACATTCATTCATTCATCTTCTAACCGCTTCATCCTCTTGAGGGTTGTGGGGGGGCTGGAGCCTATCCCAGCTGACATCGGGCGAGAGGCAGGGTTCACCCTGGAAAGGTCGCCAGACTATCACAGGGCTGACACATAGAGACAGACAACCATTCACACTCACATTCACACCTACGGACAATTTAGAGTCACCAATTAACCTGCATGTCTTTGGACTGTGGGAGGAAGCCGGAGTGCCCGGAGAGAACCCATGCTGACACGGGGAGAAGGCAAACTCCGCAGAGAGGGGCTCCCACACCTGGGATCGAACCGGCAACCCTCTTGCTGTGAGGCGACAGTGCCGTGCCGCCCAAAACCACGTACATTTGTTAGGTAAATGTAACCACTTGCTTTTGTTAGCTAAACATAACTATGTCCTTTGTTAGCTAAATGTAATCACCAATTTTTCTTAGCTATACATAACCATGTGCTTTTGTTAGCTAAATGTAACCATGTGGTAGCAAAACGTAACCACAGGCTTTTATAAGCTAAAAATAACTATGTGCTTTTGTTAGCAACCACATGCTTTTGTTAGCTAAACATAACCACATAGTTTTGTTAGCTAAACATAACCATGTGCTTTTGTGCGCTAAACCACAAGCTTTTGTTAGCTAAACATAACTATGTTCTTTTGTTTGTTAAACATAATCACATACTTTTGTTAGCTAAACCTAACTATGTTCTTTTGTTTGTTAAACATAATCACATACTTTTGTTAGCTAAACATAACTATGTTCTTTTGTTTGTTAAACATAATCACATAATTTTGTTAGCTAAATGTAACCACCTATTTTGTTAGCAAAATGCAACCACGTGCTTTTGTTAGCTAAACATAACTATGTACTTTTGTTATCTAAATGTAAGCACATGCTTTTGTTAGCTAAACATAACCACATACTTTTGTTAGCTAAACATAACCACGTGCTTTTGTGAGGTAAACCACAAGCTTTTGTTAGCTAAACATAACTATGTTCTTTTGTTTGTTAAACATAATCACATACTTTTGTTAGCTAAACATAACTATGTTCTTTTGTTTGTTAAACATAATCACATACTTTTGTTAGCTAAACGTAACCACCTATTTTGTTAGCAAAATGCAACCACGTGCTTTTGTTAGCTAAACATAACTATGTACTTCTGTTAGCTAAATGTAAGCACATGCTTTTGTTAGCTAAATATAATCACGTTTTTGTTAGCAAAATTTAACCACAGGCTTTTGTTAGCTAGACATAACTATGTACTTTGTAAGGTAACCATAACTATGTACTTTTGTTAGTTAAACGTAACCACAAGCTTGTGTTAGCTAAACGTAACCACAAGCTTTTGTTAGCTAAACATAATCACCAGTTTTTCTGAGCTATATGTAACCACATGCTTTTGTTATCTAAATGTAACCATGTGGTAGCAAAACGTAACCACAGGCTGTTGTTTGCTAAAAATAACTATGTACTTTTGTTAGCTTTGATAAATAAAAAACCACGTCGCTGTTCTCCAAACTGCTGTAGCTGCGGTCTGGTTTCCAAGACAGCACCTTACGTCTGACATAAGGGACTTTAAGCAGCGGTGGATTTTGCCACCGCCACGGCTCCCGGAAATTAATCTCTCCTGGCGCTGGTGCTGTAGCTGTCAAATCCACAGTAGTCATTAAGCAGGTTGCTGCAGTAGCTGTCAGGTTGGAACAGCTGATCGCTCACCACATGACAGGGGTGAGGGTATAAACACAGCTCAAGTGAGCTATCTCAGTTCGGTCAAAATGTCTTTCAAAAGGGCGCCAGAGAGGAGTTGCTCTATGCATTAGATGACAAGTTGTTATCAGAGGGAGAGTCTTTGCTTAATATATGATACAGCAGAAAATAGTTCGATATGGTTTTTATACAGTGAAAT